ATGCGTAGGAATGGAATTTAATCTCTTGTCTTGTGTGCGCGCGCCTCACCGCCGATTACTGACAATGAGAGCGGCGAAGTGGTAGTGATGGCTAGCTGGCAAGGTGGCGCATCGTCTCTTCTCAGTTTTCGCGTCAAACGCGTTAATACAATATAATAACGATATAATAACTGATTAATAAGGATAATAATGTAATAATAATAATAATAATAATAATAATAATAATAATAATAATAGTAACTAAATATCGATAATAACTAATTAATAATAGCGATAATGATAATGACAGTAATGTTAATTAGGGATCAACGCATGCTTATGCGATATAAATACTAATGGACAGATACCTTGTGATGCCGTCTCGATGGTGCAAGTTTCGTGTGTGCACCCCTCTCCTACACAAATTAATATCCCCCCTTCCTAGAGAAAAAAATTTCGAATTATAGATATGCCATTCGCGTCGTTCTCTTGGCAGTCCGTCTTTGTCAAGTTATTTAAAAAATAGACGCGAAAGCGTGATCGATTAATGTTGAAACAGCTTGACGAATCAAGAAGTTGAAAAAAAAAAAAGCTTGACAGTTTGCCCGAGCCGACGCAAAAATGACGCTTAATCAAGAGATTAAAACAGAAACATTGAAAAAAAATCGCGATATAATGAAAAATGAGATTGATCTAAATAATTTTCGGTGATCCCTGCATTTTCGTTTTCTCTGCGGACATCCTATTAATTTTTATTATCCTTGTTCATCCTTAAAGTTTGTCTTCATAACGAGGACATTCCAATCGGAAAATGTCCAGAATTTGCGGTCAAAAATAATATCGAATCCTTCGTTCGAGATGGCAAACGACAGGTAACGACAGGTGCGTATAACTACTCCGCAATATGATTCTGAGCGTTTACGCGACTCGAAGGAAGAAGATCGAAAATGCTCGCGGAATGTCTACGGAATTAACTCGGACGAACAAGGATTAAATTCAGCGACGATCACCTGGTTCGGTAGTCTTTAACTGCATAAAAATTAAAGGATTCACGATTCAACGTTCTATTTTTAGTACCTGTATCTGTCGAATATCACACATTTGTTCGTCGCAAATGCAAAACGTTTTATCATACATCATAATTTACATGCTTCTAAATATTCATTAACTTATAAACGTCAGTATGCGATGAAACTTACACATTTTTTGATCACATATATCTTTCTTCTTGAAAAGTTATTTATATATTTGTGTAAACAGTGACTGTAGCAGGTACAAAATGCTTAAAAATCACATAAATGGATCGAAGGATTAAAAATCTTTGAATCAAAGTCCATAATCGAATGTCAGGAATCTTCAGTCCGATTTCGTAAATGTCAGCTTGCTGCTGACTTAAACGTGTAATTCGACTACCAAATCAAGTGATCATGAGATAGCAATAATCATGGATTATCCCAGGATCTGCGATTGCAATCGATGACGAAACGATTTGAAGACGCGAAAATGTTAAATATTAGTTATCGCTCGAATCCCAATCGAATTACGGAGTCAATTATTGAGAGATCATTATTTCTATCCAAATCCATTATTCTATTTAAAAATCTGTCATTGACTTGAAACAATTCGATACTCGATCGAATCGTCGAAAGTTAATCTTTAAAAAAATTTACTAATTAATCTGCGTTTAAAATATGTAATATCTTCAAAGTGGCAAAATAACTTTTCTTTCGTAAACGATTGAGTGTGAAAATTTGAAAACTTTAAATTAATTGAAAAACTTTCCAAAATTTCCAGAACTAAACTGATATTTGCATAAATGCAATGAAGCAATTCTCTGATGATGTCCAGAGATCCTGATATAATCCACTAATCTCCTCATTGTAATTAGAGTCGTTAGGTCATGCCAGCTAGCCTTTTTCTCTTCACAATACAGGGGCATTGGATGACGTCTTGTATCGACAATCGAAAGTCGCAACACGTTAATAATAATAGAATAAAAAATAATAATATAATAATATTAATAAAAAATATAATAATAGCAAACATGCACGGAATCGCGCGGCGAAGACTTGTGAGGACTTCCGCGATTGGCGATCCATCTCTCCAACAAAATATATTAATACTATAAGTTTTTTCTTTTCGAGTGAAATAGACGCCAGCGCAAACCTAAAACAGCTGCGCGGCAGTCAGGTCAGGTGGGAATAGGAGGGTGGTGGTGATTCTTATCGTTGGTAGTTCGGGTAGACGGTGATTTCATGAGAATCCAAAAACATAAGCAGTAGCAACAATGCATTCTTTTTTTAAGCGCAGCGACACAAATGAAAAAGAGAGAAGAACAAAAGTTGCATCAGACTGTAATAACGTAACTACCGAGAGAATGAGATATAGAGTAAAAAAGAAAAGTCTTACACGATCGCTAAACCGGTTAATAGCTACTATATGCGCTACGATACTAACTACGCTAATAAGAAAGAAAAAGGAAGAGGATTTTGCCGTAAAATGGGAAGTTGGAGAAGACAATTCGTCTTCTGCTTTTATATCGTTAATGAGGATAGCGGTTACGTTACAATGATTTCGTTATTTTGGTATGAGAGTCGAGAATGAGCCTCAATGATTTAACAATGGTATACGCAATCGGCTTTTTCTTTACGCGTGAATCAAACGCCAAGCATCTTATTTCTTTTCTTGAGATTCATTTCTTGTAATACTATTTACTACCACATTCAGGTCTCTATAAATTTCCTGCGTGTCTCCGTAAGTCGAATGATCTTTACTTTTATTGGAGTTATATTTGCGTTATCTATAAATGAATTCAGGATCTCATATTTAAGCGTTAACGTTACTTGGTATAATTTCCCACGAATACTCCGGAAACGTATCGTGACATATATTTAAATGTAATGAATAATGATACCGTCGATAAGCACTCGCCGACAAAAGTTATTAAATTTATCACGTAAACCGAGTGAGAAAAATGATTATCGTACACGACCAAAAAGTTAACGTAGGTCGACGCGATTTCACGACAGAATGATGGAGACGAATGATGTACGGGGGCTGAAGGTGCAAAAATTATTTAAGTAAAACTAATCAATATAATAATAAGTTGAAGAGACAAGAAAAAATTAATGCGTGCGATGACCGTTCAATGACGTTCAACAAAACGCTGTCATAGTTACGAAATGCACCTCAGAATGAATATCCGTAGGAATTGTCGATAATCGTTACAAAACGAAGAGATGTACCGAAAGGCAAATTCAATCTATCGGGAATACAATCTATCGATTCGTAACATATAAGATGTCCTGTCGCCCGGTTACTTAGAATCCGCGGGATGATTCTCGCATCTCACGGATAATTAATTGGGTCAAGTGATCTCGGATGAACAGCACAATCCCAAATATGCCCATACACGATTCAACAATCTTCGGCGAGTCTGCTACCCAAATATGTCGATATATTATATATACATATATATATATCATTGTATTGAAATATAATGATGAAATTACTAATTTCTCCAACAATTTCTCAAACTATCTCCACAAACATATTATATATTGATAACACATGGATCAATCTGATGTCTTACGCAGTAAGATCAAACAATTGTCCATAGAAATAACGTACGAGCAATTTGGGGAACAAAATCGTTTAAAACCGTGGATAAGATGTGCTGATGCTGTATGAGCTAATTCGAAGCTTACCGGAGTAATAAGAGTAATGCGATACTCGCGGCAATCAGTCTCATGTCCCATGGGACAAAATCAAACCTGTTGAAAGCGGTTTGCAGAAAATCGTTGGATTTCGCGTAGGATCTTAAAACGAATCTCTTACGAGATATACATCGAAACGGATGTTCGCGCAACAAACGGACATTTCTCGCGAACTTCGCACGGCATTTGGAGGGAGACATTTCAAGCGCGATGATCGGAAGTGACCCGAGCGCGACGGTCGCGATCGACCACTGTCGAAGAGAGTAACAAAAATGATAAACGCGCGTGGATTCGGGCACGCGTAACGACATGATGCATGTGTTAGTGTGGACCATCGTCGTCGTGACGTGTGGAAATGCACTGCCAGATGTGATCGTCGGACGAGGTCTCAGAGAGAAGACGGTGGTTAGTGGGAAATGGGGATGAGAAGGTAGGTAGGAGAATGGTAACGGGCGTGAAGGGAAGAGGATCAGAGGGTGGAAGGCGGGGGGGGGAAAGTGACTAGCGGCGGCGAGCTCTACAACTAAACAACAACAACAGTATTTTCAGTATTATAACAACATTAACAAGTAAGTTATCGCGTACGCGCACGCGTATTCATAGCGCGTACGCGCGAAGAAAGGAGCGCGCGCGAATTTTTTCAGGGCAGGGTTGACGTCCTCTCTCTCTTTCTCTCCCTCTCTCACTCTTTTTCTTTCTCTCTTGTTTGCGGGTCCTAAATAGCCCAGCGTCGCAAGGGCTATACACACAAAACGTCGCGCGTTTCTCCTCTTTCTTTCCGCTCGTCCACGCGGGATAAAGAGGGACAACCCGCGGAAATGCGAGGAGGATATCGAGGGAAGCGCGCGCGTGCTTTCTCGCATACCGTCGGTGATGTCCGTCGTTCGGCAGAGTCCACAAGAGGAGCGCCTCGGGAAAGTTCCGGCGAGGAGACTCCGATTTTCTTGCCGCGTAAACGACACTCGATCGGGAGTCGATTCCTTGAGAGTCATGTATGGAGCAATAAATGATGCGCTTCTTTCTCATGGTCGGCGTGAAACGTCTCGTTGAGGCGAGCGAAGAAGGTGATGGATAGATGGTGATGGCGAAGATGGTGAATCGAGCGCGCGAGCGTTGACGATGAAGCGGACGTAGAAGACAGGCGAACGTAGGTGAGAGGAAAAATCGATGAGATCGTGATGGCCACGCGACCGTCCAACGACGAAGAGCGGCGGCAATGATGATGGCAATGATGACGATGACACGATGAAAAACGTTGACACTGGCGCACGACGATCATCGTCGTCGTCGTGACGCGTCACTGCTCTACATGCCGATCGGCGGTACCTGTACGTAGCGGTATATGTAAAGCCGGTAATCCTTACTGGCCAGTACGACCGAACCATCGTCCATTAGCGCCACGTCGAAACATTGCGCGTGCTTCACCTTGCTCTCAAGGGCCGAGACCAACTGACCATCCTGCGTAAAGATAGTCAGATTGAAATTATTATGATTGTCCGCTATTAGTATCTCGCCGTGCGTATTGATGCCCACGCCGATTGGATAGTTGGTGATACCCTCACCGCCGATTTGTCGTAAGTAAGAGCCCTCATAGTTAAAAACCTTAACACAATGGGCGCGATTGTCGCTGATGAAGATCTCCTGTTTATCGTTCACCACCACGCCGTTCGGGAATTCGAGATGCTTCGAACAACCGAATTTCTGTAGAACGCCGCCAGTCTGATCAAAAATGATGACGCGCATCACTTTGCATTCTACAACGACGATCCGTCCTTTTGAATCGACGGTGACGCCACGTGGATGTTGGAGGATGTTTGCGCCGAATTTGCGTACAAATTGACCGTATTGATTGTAAATCTGTATCTGATGAGTCGGCGAACGTTCCGTAACGATAATGTCACCAGACGTCTTCACGACGGCGACGCGATTTGGATAGAGCAATTGGCCGTCGCGTTTGCCGCACTCGCCAAACTGAAACTTGAACCTGCCTTCCTTGTCGAAGATCTGAATGCGATGATTATTCGTGTCGGCAACGATGATATCGTTCTGCGCGTTTACCGCGACGCCTGACGGTTCGGTGAACTGACCCTCCATCACACCAAACTCACCAAACTTACAATGGTAGATCATTTTCTGTCGTTTGATTTGTGACTTGGGCGGGAATATCGCGGTGGCGGACATCAGTTTCGAAGTCAAGTCAAGGACGGAATCGCCCGGTGCGGCGTTCGTCGCTACAGCTACCGACGGCATCGCGAAATGGTCGTTCGTCGTCACGACCGGGTAAGTGTCACTACCGCCGTTGCTCCATTTCTCGTACGGATTGGCATTCATGCCGTTTAGATTCACGTCGCTGATCGTCGTGGAGAACGGGCCGAGACTATTGGCCGAGCTGAAACGTTTTGAGATCACACTGCTGACAGTGTCGATCGAGGAAGGTGAAGACGACGAGCCACAATTCATACTGGAGGAGATCAGGCCGTTACTGTAACCCCGATCTAGGAGAAGACTGCCCAGAGAACTAACGCCACTTCCGGGTCCGTTGCTAATGTTGCTGCTGCTACTGCTACCAATGCCGTTGCTCGACAGAGCAGTAGGTCGTGCGATAGGTGGTTGTTTGCCGATTGCGTTATTTTCACTGTTACTATTACTCCGAACGTAACCGAAGGTATTTCTCACTCCCACTTGTATCGCTTGATAATTGCTGACAAACTCGAGGTCCGCTGTCTGATTGGCTATGTCTGTATTTGAAGTGCAATTGAGCAGTGACTGGAGCTTGGCCTCGAGGATCTTCCTGACCATAAGGAAATCGGTGGTGGTGGTGACTTTGGTTACACGTTCAACGAAGTCGCAAGTCTGCATCATTTTATCCGCCGTCTCATTGGCTCGCTGGGAGAGCACATTCAAGGAAATTTGCTTCGTCGAGAACACCGAGTCGAGTTCCTTCAGCAGCTCTTGCTTGCGCTCATCCAGCATCGATCGATAGAACTGGAAGGTATCGTTGATCTCATTTTGCGCTTTGTGATACTGCACCTGTAGTATTGCGGCGTTATGGTCCGTTGCTTTGACCGCTGCACGCGTGTCCGCCGCCTTCGAGCGGCACTCCTGGATGATCCGCGACAATGCCTCCAGTTGTTGCGAGCCTACTTCCGTGACGTGGGCACAATCATGTAGCGGCGCCGTATGGTCCGTCAGCGTGCACTCTTTGCAAATTAGCACATTGCAGCTTCGGCAGAAATATTTGATTATCTCCTGCTTATGTCGCAAACAGAAGTGTACTTTCTCGGCATTGCCACCATTGTTGCTGTTTCCGGTGCCGTTGATAACCAGACTATTGCCACCACCACCGCCACCGCTGCTGCCGTTACAGGCGTTTTTAGGCAATTCTGTAGTAACGGTGATCGTATTACTACCACCACCGCCGCCACTGCCTCCACCACCGCCATTTCCGCCGCCGCCACCGCTGCCACCGCTGCCGCCACCGCCTCCGACGGTCTCCAGCTTGGAGTCGGCCAAGTTCAATAATCGGTGGCCTTCGAAGCAGAGCATGTATTGATGTGCCATCACGCAATTTGGACAGAGAAACTGATCACAATCGTAACAACGCGCTACAGCGCCAGCTTCAGTGGATTTACAGCCGGTGCAACGGATGCGACTGGTGCCACCGGTGCTTCCCAGCCGGCAGCGCGGGCACGGATCTTCGCCCGACTTTGGTGCGTCGAGGCACAAGTCGCAGCTGTCGACGTCGCAGATCGCCGAATCGCTAGCAGGCGGCGAGCTGCCGCTCACCGTTACTGGGGACAGCGAGACCGGGGACCCGAGGGAATTTGCGCGCGATTCCAATGAGGGTGTCGGCGAGGCCATCTTCAGTCAACCGGCATCCCTGTAAGCAGAAATCACCAATATTTATGTCGTGTATCGCTACATTTTGTTATTTATTATTATTATTATTATTATAGACTGTTTTTCTCAACGATAAAAAAATTTGTTGTCGTATTTGGAATATTTTAACAATTTTATTATGAGTTCGTATTTTTAAATAAGTATATGTTTATGTGTACACACATACGTTTTTTTCTAGATTCTCTTTTTATAATTTTAATTTTCCATTAAAATGATGATTTTATTAAAATGTCGTTAATTATTAGCATCATAAACTACGTAGCGATGTAATCGAGGGTATATCTATACTTTTCTCTGTTATGTAAAACACGCTAGTATAAAATGAAATTTTAATAACAGCGCTTTGCTAAGAGCAATGCGAGTTTCTCTGTATACACTTTACTTCATCCACGAGAGTTTGTAGTAACGAAAGAGAATATCATATTATTCTGTGTCCCATCGGTAATAGTATCTACTATAATAACAATATAATAACATCCGTAATATGTAACTATCGGTCGCTCCCGACTGTTCCTCGAGAGAGCCGTCGTTGTCGTTGCGATTAATCGTTATTACAGTGTTTCCTATCTCAAAGGTCTCTTTTATTGTGATTCCCACGCGTACGTCTGGCTACCTCACCTTCTTCCCTCCTCCGCACCCCCGAGGCGCAGCGGTTATTCGCGCGGCTCGCGCGACGAGCAGGAGGCTTCGGTCCCTCTAATTAAATCGCTCGAGCCGGACGGCCATGTTTCACCTGGCAGTCAGAAAAGGAGAGAGATCGTCCAAGAGTGGCCGGAGGAAAGGGAACGACGTGCGCCGGCGGCGAAGGAAAAGGAAGAATGAGGGAGGACTGGTATAGACCGCGAGTCCAAGGTCACGAATGCGAAGGTTATCGTACTTCTCTCCCACCCGGTCGAGCGAATTTATCGGATACCGTGCGACGACACTCGCTTTTCCACGCTCGGGAGACCGAGGAGGAGGAGGAGGAGGAGGAGCACGAGAAAGAGGTAACGTCGAGAAGGAAGAAAGGAAAGATATTTTTCAACGTGTCGAGCGCGTCTAAATGAAAATATCGTTTCTCGGAAGCTTCGTGCTTCAATCGACATTATCGCATGGCGCAGAAAGACTTAATAAAGAAAACATCGTGACGTTTTCTTTCCCCTTCAAAATCGTTTTTATTCGACTCGTTTCATATTTCTTATGCGGCGAGCGGTCTCAAAATTTACGCAATAATATTAGAGACGAGATAGCAAAGCCACAGACGGAGGAAGAGAGAAAAAGAGAGGAAACCGCGGACGCGAAGAGAACAAAGAGCATCTTGCTCGCGCGCTTCAGGAAACATTTCTGAAGTTGATGCACCAGCGAGTCCTCGCTCGCGAGCGAGCGCGACTAGTGCGCGCCGTCTTCGTGCAAGAATTTCGATTAACTCCCGAGATAAAAGGTGAACGCTCCTGAGGGAAGGAGTCCGTGGAGCCCGAGGTCGCCGGAAAGTCGTGTTTAACATACCGAGGCCGAGGAAGTCGCGAGGAACGCGCGATGAACTCACCGAAAGTGAGAATTCACGCTATTGTGAAAGAAATCTACGTAAAGTATCTTCCCGTTGGGTAAGATAATTTCATGCAAAAAATATTCAGCACGCATATTTTAATAAGATGAATTATTTGTATTGATACACGTCAGCACGCCTTTGAAGCTTCGTTTGAAATTTTCAAAGATAAAGCGGATTCGACGAGCTTTTTTGAGATTAAGAGAGGTAGCAATTTATTATCGGAAACAGTCACGGTTAACTTTAATACGAAATCAATGCAACGTATTATATTATATAGAAAAACCAATGGCAAATTGTTAAAATGACCTATAAAATATTAGTGTATAAACTGTTTAATGTATTGATTATGTGTAAAATATGTATATTGAATATGCGCAATTCAATAACCAATGTAATTGATAGATGGGGGGTACGAAAATCATGCTTTTTTCGTTTATTTGTTAGCTCTATGAAGTAAAATCTGTACGTTAAAAATACACGTGACTCTGTAAAAATGTATTACTTTATGCATTACACAGTTTATTTCATTTTAACTTTTAACATCTGTCATGCACGCCTCGACTGTCGAGAATTGTCGAGGAAGGAATATAGAGAACGTTTCAAACGATCGTATACGTATGACAAATCACACTCCGCGACGGGATATAACGAGGGAGGAAGAGGAAGGTTAATTCTTTTTCGCGCGTGAGGGGATGAAGTGTCTGAATAAAAAATGCGACGGGGATATCAGGGGGGAAACGCACGCAGGAACGTGTCCTTGGCGAGGATAATTCCCGTTATCGAGGTACCGTTGCATTTTCGAACGCGGATCGCAACCCCACGGTTGAATGCACCGTGGGAAGGGGTGGCGGACGGCGCGTCTGGTTTCCATGGTAACGCTGCATCGACCGCCCCAACCCTTCGAACCAGAGTTGTTCCGACGAGGGTCGAGTCCGTTGCCGCTCGTGATGGTGGTGGTAGCGACGGTGGTGCGGCGGGAACCAAGGGGGATGGCAACCGCCCTTCGGGAACGGTAACCGTTGGTGCATCGCCCTTCGACGCAGCCTGCTAGTGCGTGCTTTTCTACGGGGTGATCGAAAATAACCTCGCCAGGATATACGAGAGTCATTGCGAAATATTGTTCGAAAGAAAAAATCTTTATAACAAACTTTTTATTCCCCACAGTGATAATAATCACTCTGATATTGACGAAGCTAAGATTTCTTTTATCGATTATCGACAATTTAAAACTTTAAAGATTCATTAGAATATTCTTTGTAAAGAAAAAAACGCATTTTACAGCGTTCTCAATAATATACACTTTCACAGATTTTTCTATGATGGATTGTTCCTCGGTGGCAATTTAAAGTAAAGCTTCGTAAAAATTTATTTAAAACTTTGAGAATTGATGTTCCCTCTTCTTTCTCTACTTTAATATTGGAAGAACTTAATTCTTCAAATTTTACAACTCTGGAATATATATTCTTCCAATGGGTATTTTTGAAAAATCGAGTTAATCGAACTATACCCATGAAAATCTACGTCCACGAATTTACGCTCATCAGAAATTAAATGTCAAATAGTGTCAGCAAGACTTGCATCGAGTGTACTACCCGGGGCATACATACACTCTCGCGTGTACTCTAGCCGGTAATTTCAATGTCACTGCCGGATGTTTCTTCAGCCCCAAACGAGGGGAGCGGTCGCCACCTGCCCCCTCCACCCTCTCGTTTGATTAACGTTATTTTGCTCGACAGGCAAGCATCGACTACGATCGATACACGCTCGGCGGCGGCGGCGGCGGTGGCGGCGGCGGTATAGTCACGTTTGCGAGCCGAGAAACAAGGAACGAGGAACGAGATGAGACAGACGGAGCCGAGCGAAAAGGCCATCGGCCTGCGCCGCAGACGGATTGGTAACGGCTGTGGCGCTGCGGTTATGGGAAAGGTAGGCGAGCAAACGCGAAGCGAGCATGATGGACGGATAGGAAGGGAGAAATTTATTATACCTCGGAGCCCCAGGCCTCGTATATTTAACAATAACGCGCGATACGTACATGTGACAATATCCGAAGAAATATACCTATATACGGATTTATCCGTTTTTATGTCCAAACGTTTTCGGCCCTCCCTGATCTATTCCACTTCGAAACGAGATTTTTCATTTGATAACGCAAGTTGATCTATAATTTCCACTTCTCAAGCATTTAAATTGTAACTATTACTTTAATTACATACGGGGGCGAGTAGGTAATCTTAATTTTTATTGCCTCATTAAGTAAAATATAAGTGAAGAGCTAGAGAGGAGAAAGGAGAGAAGGAGCGTTCATTTATTACGAGCTCTAGAACAAGTCTCCTCAAGTGCAAAACTATGACAAAAAATAAGTAAATAAAAAAATAATAGTACATTACTGAAAAGAATACTATTATAAAGAAAAAAAAAATATATATATATATAAAGAGTGAGAGAGAGAGAGAGCGCATGCGCGCGCGCTAGTGTGTGTGTTGACTATTGATTAGTCTGACCTCAGTGAATGCGACAAGTTGACAATATTAAATATATATACATATAAAATAAATAAATAAGAAAATAGCGAAATATTCCTAACAATCATAAATCAATAATCAGAAATTTCGATATAATTTTGTATGAAAATATATAAAAGATACAGAAAACTTTTGACCACTATTAACTGAGAACAAAATACTTCATTCCTAAAGAAAAATATTCCAGAGTTGAAAAAAGGATACAATGAGACGGAAACCTGCCAGACGCCAAATCGATTGCCGTCTGCGTGCCGGCATCGACAAAGAAAAGTGGTTGTAACGAGATCGTTTAGGTCTCAATGCGAGGGATTTCTAACGAGTGGAAAATTTTTACTTCAAGCTTCTAACTTATGGATTATGTCACTATAAATTTTATTTTAATCTTGTTTGAAGAAAACACTGCAACTTTTTAGCTGCCATTATAAATATATAATACTGTAGGATTATTTAACAAAATTATATGAACCTGTATCTTTACATCATTGATGATCTATAAAATCATGACATGTAAATAGCACTATTCTATGCTTTCAAACTTTAACTTTTTTTGCTTCATAATATAATATAAATTTAATTCATCAATTAATGTTGTCAAAATTAATAATACATTATAATTATTATTAACACAATAGAAACACGCGATATCAATAAACTACTAAAGAATGAATTGTGTCGATTGTGTCATCTTATATATATTTTATACAGCTTCGATTGTCAGCAATTTACAAAGTGGAGCGTGCGTTTGAACGCGATGATATTTCTGTTAACGTTAAATCGAGCGAGTACTTTTCTCGAGTGGAAGCTTTGAATCCTCTCCGCTGTCGGGGACTTAAACCCGCCGGTGCATTTTGAACGTTAAAGTGCATCAGCGTCACGCTTTCCGGAAGTGTCGGTCGTTTCGCCGCCGA